TTCCTGTCAGGTCTGGACGCTGAGACCCCTCACCCCCGGGCGTTAGGGGTCACATCTGAACATGTTTCACACACAGATGCCCTCCCTCCCCCCTCTTAAATTTCTTGAAGCCCGTTGGGGGGCTACCTCCACACCGTGCCCATTTCACAGACCAGAAAGCTGAGGCTGCGTGCCCGGTGAGATTGGAAGTGACTCTTTAATGCATGGTTCTAAGAAAGGATGAGACTGTATAGTGAGTTTCGCCCCCAGGGGGGAGGCCAGGGAAGGAGCTTGTCAGCAGCTAAGAGAGCCCAAGGTTCCAGCTGAACCTCCCCCAGAGACCCCCCTGGAAGGAAGGTGCCACATTCTGGTTAATGCTCCATCTGCTCTGCTGGAATCACTGTAGCTTCTCTGTCCACTCACTCTCCAGTCCTCATTGTACAGGCAAAAAGCACAAAGGAGTGTAAGGGCCAGCAAAAGAAGGGGGAAGCAGGAGGATCTGGAGTTAAAGGCCAGCCTTTGCCACGAAGTGAGTTTGAGGTAAGCTTGGGCTAGCCAAGACCTGTCTAAAACAGAAAGAGGAGTGGGCGCTCTTCTCTCCTCCTGCCCTGTCCCTTGCACTTTAGTTTATTAAGATTTCATCTTTCAGGGTTGGGCGTTTAGTTCAGTGGTTGAGTGCTTGCCCAGCAAGTGCAAGGCCCTGGGTTCGGTCCTCAGCTCTGAAAAACAAAACAAAAACAAAAACCAAACTAATCTTTCTCTTTCCTCTTTCAGCCACTCTTGCAATAAAACAATTCCCAGGGACCCCTTTCCATGCATTTTCTCTCCCCGAAACGCGAGATTTCCATCTGCTCCCAGCTGCTCTGCAAGGCTTCTTTCTCAGTGCCCTGGCCCCTGGGAGGTGATAACCACAAAAGGAGGCTAACATCTTAGGGGGGACTTCAGGTGACATCATATCCTCAAATGCGAAATCAGCTCTGTCTGCAGCTGGCTAAGGGTGCAATTTCCTCACCCACCATGCCCCGCTGCTCCCTGGCCCCTCCCCTAGCGCCCTAGCTTGACCTGAGGTGCTGGCGAGGAGCTCACCATGGCCTCACGGGTGGCCTGCTTTCTGTCGCTGACCCTGCTGCTGGGTGAGTTGATGATCCCGGGGAGGGGAGGGGCGGGAGCACATCGAGGGATGGAGATTCGCTACTCAGCCTCCTTACCTGGCACCCGCAGGTGTGCTCCCTGGGCTCCAGGGTTCTGGACCTATCCAAATATCGTCAAAGGAGTCGGCCGCTCAGCTTGGCCAGAAGGTGGAGCTGGCATGTGAGGTGCGGATATCCACCTCGCAGGGATGCTCTTGGATCTTCCAGGATGGCAGCTCTGCACCCCCTAAACTCAAGTTCATCGCCTATGTCTCTTCGCTGGGCCAGTCCAAAGGCATTGATAAGCAGGACGTGAAGCACTTCTCTGCCAAGAAGACTGGCGACAAGTACATCCTCACCGTGAGCGAGTTCAGCAAGAAACACGAAGGCTACTACTTCTGCAGCTCCATCAGCAACTCGGTTATGTACTTTAGCCGTCTCCTGCCGGTCTTCCTGTCAGGTCTGGACGCTGAGACCCCTCACCCCCGGGCGTTAGG